CCAGCCATCTAACCAACCACACCCCGTGGATCGTAACAGGAAAGAAAGAAAAGTGAATAACCAAATGGACCAGCACATGAGAAAGTTGCAGGCCGCCTTGCTACTGGCGTATTACTTCATATGTTGCTGCTGCTGCTGCTCGTAAACCGCCCAATTCCACTCCCCATTTCCTGTCCGCCTCGCGATCATGCCCCCCGCCGTATCTAAGAAAAATAAAAAACCAAAACATCATCGCCTTGTGCATCTCCAACCGTGTGTCTCCTCCTCTTGTCTTCTCCCCCGCCCTGCGGCCGTAAACAGCAACATTAACCACACTCCTCCCCCTCTGCCTCCGCGCGCGCTGCCTTTTCCCCAAGCTCTTGTACGACGTGTCCCACTGCAGGGCCATGTCGGCTCGCGACTTGGCTTTCATCGTGTCAAGATTACACAAGAAAGAAGAGGATACCGAAAGCAAAAAAAAAAAAAAGACAAGAGGTCCAACTGCATTTCCCCATCTCGCCTCAACCAACTCCGCAACAGCCAGCTACTGCACTTACACGGGTACGTATGTATCGCCCTCTTCCACCTCTACCAATGCAAATCCGTTGCAGCCTATCCCGACCAATGACACGCAGCACGGCCGACGCCCCTCAATCACTCCCGCTGCTCTTCCACTTTACAAGAAAAAGAAGGCTTTGTGTACGGCCAACATGCTAGAACGTCGTGCGTGTCACTGCCACCGTACAACGTCCCACCAACACCGATATGAACAAGCAGACTACCCGTCTACGATCTATGCCGCCGCCGCACGCCGCCGCCCTCTTCCTGCCCTGCCTTGCCTTGAGCTGCCGCTACACGCATCAGACCGGTAACGCAATGCCGTGTACACGTCGTCGTCGTGTGTCGTCGTATATACAATGGGCACAGGGGGGGAGGGGGGGGAAACCCAGGTAGATACGCACGCATGCCTTTCGTGACACCCGCCGCGCGGAAATTTCAACCGCGCGCTGGCGACACAAAGAACATAATAAGTACGTATGTATTGTATGTATGTAAGTATCAGCAGCAGCAGGGTGCAAATGCAGCGCAGACACCGATGCCCGCTCCTGCTTGTGTAACCACGGGATTTGAATTTTGTCCTTTTTCTTTTCATCTGTCACCCGGCGCCTCCTTCTCTATGTGTCTATCTCATGTTGCTAACTTTAACAACTGCGAAGAGAGAGAAAAAAAAAAAGACCAAGCGATTTGCACATGTGAAGTTTGGAAAGGGCACAGTCTTTGTCATGTTGTTTTCCGCATGCTGCGATGAAGGCGGAAGAGCATTACCCGGCGGCCTGACTGTCGTTTTTTTGACTTTGCCTGCCGAGCCTCTAGAACACAACGTGCCATGTGCCAAAAAAGACTGAACAAAACCATATTGGCACACACCCGAACGCCAGAGAGTTCGTGGACAGTGTAAAAAAGGCGTCCCCGGAAAACGCACTACCATAAAACCAACCCAAAGCCAAAACCCCGGAGACGAAGCCTAGGCACCCCCTCTTCGCACTTTCTTCCGTGGAAGGCCCTCTTCCCAGGGAAACATCCAAAGAAAAAAAAAACTACACGGATACAGGGACCTGGCCGGTTCCTCCTCCATTCCCATCGGGCGGCGGCGGCGCGCCATCGCAAATCGGACGGCGCGGCGGGATAAAACAATGTCAGGCAGGGACAGCCTTGCCGACACGACGCAAGGCAAGGCATTTCCCAGGTTGCAACACCAGGACTCAAGATTCAAACAAGCGCGGTACATGAACTACTCGTGGAGTCCCCCCGATCCATCCTTCTTCCAAAAGAAACCAAAAAAGGTTGCTCGGGCAGATAGATTGCAAAGAGCCACCCACCAACCATGGTCCATCGTGGTTTGTCCACACATGACACTCTTATAACCGCATCTGCTCTTCTGTTATTACCGTAGACACATACTAACACTGCGCGCGCGCGTCTATGAGTTAAAGTGCGTCGATTTTTAGAAAACTCAAAAAGAAGAAGAAGCGACACCCACACACGCCCACTAACATCGTCCTTCCCGGTTGACCCGGCACCTCCATCCCGAAAAGCAAAAGACAACATCCGGGGGGGGGGCTATCAATCTTGGCCACAGACCACGCGGCGAACGCAGGTTTTGTCACTTTCATGCTGGCTGCTTGTTCGTGTCGCGAACATGACGTGACATAAGATCTCTGTTATAAAGTATGTGCGTCGCGCGTGTCGTGCGTTGCGTGTGTCCCAATATACGGGCGACGCCATCTTGTGCCAATAGCGTTGGCCAAAAACGATATGCGCGTCACTAATCGCGATCTGGGATATTCAAATGATGGGCAAAGACAAGGCATCGCTTCCTTCGTTGCGTCTCTGAATCTCCTCTCTCCACATACCAGTGGCCATGACACCCCAAAACAAAAGTAGGAGTCATCCAATCTTCCAAGAACATTCTTCCTCGCCTTCCATACTTCCACACGATGATCTCTGCCCCCCCCCCCCCCCCCCCCCCCCGGCATTTCCCACCCCAACGCCGTCGGCGACGAAGCCCGTCTCCGTCACCACATTCACACAAACCACCCCATGTAACATACCTTGAATAATAAACCCCAAGGAGCACATGGTAATACCAGGCCACCGGCACTGGCCCCCCTTCCCCTCTGTGTCCCAAAAACCTGCTCTGACCCTCGTCCTCCCAGGGGATGGATGGGGTGTGCCCGTCCGTACCAGGGGGGGAAGAGACCAGGCTGACTGACGTGTGTCGTTCATTTCTAATCACTTCTCACAACCTGCCGAGCACAAGGCCAGGCCGCCCGCCCGCCGACGCGCGATTAGAACAGAAAAAAAAAAAAAAAGGTCCTTACCTACCCGTCCGAGATTCCCGCTCCGCTTATCGGATTTTTTATGAACGAACAAAACACCGTAGGCCCCGCAAAAAGGCTGCCCTCACTGACACACACGCCCCCCCTCCCCCCTGTCTGTCCATCTCGTGAAATCGAAGGAGCAGGACAGAAAATAAAAGGACAAATCTCGCGATCTTGTGAGATTGAGATTCTACCCGTCCGTTCCGCGCCGTTACGATGCGATGCCGATTCCCCCCCCCTCTCCGTCGGGAAATTTGTCATTCGTATCACTGTGTGTCTCTTTTTTACCCAGAATAATTGTCACGAGGATGAAGGGGGTGGTGGGAACACTGGAGGAGGGACGAAGCATGGGGGGGAGGAAAAGGCCAAAGGGTCAAACCTGCCCACCCAGCAAGCTGATGCTGACAGTTTTTCTTCCTGTGATAGATGCTATGTATCTTGTTGATGTACGTCTTATTTTTGGTTGCAGCGTCTCTATTTTAAACCCCATCGAAACAAAGCGTCTGGGGACAGAAAGCGAGAGAGAGATGAACAAATATGCAACATACAGCAGCCCAGTATCTTATACACACAATTTACATCATACAAAACATCACCAGGTGAGAACATAATTAATGGGCTGCCCCTCCACCGTGGGTGTGGTAGGCTCCATCGTCCTCCTTCGTCACTTGACTCCCATTTCAGGCATGTCCTTGCGCCCGCGGCGGGGACCACCACCACCAAACCGCACCACACCTGGCACACCAACCCAGTCCCAGTCTCAACCCAGCCAGCCAGCCAGCCGCCGTCAAATAAACCCCGTAACCGAGGTTTCCTCATCTTTCGCATTGCCTGTCAAAACCCAATCTCTTGGAACGGACATATCCGCCACGCGTCGGTGGGGTTGGGGAGGGGTGGGCTTGTACAGATTCGTAACCGGTCAAGTTAGATCTCCCAGATCTGTCAGGGGGGGAGGGGAGGGGAGAGGCACAGGAACTTCTGCCTTTGGAGATTCCTTGGGTGTGCCCAGTGCCAGTCAGTCACATTCAAATCGTGGGTTTTTGGCGCGCTCGGCAAGGAAATCTCGGTCTTTGGACGAGTAATCCTTGACATGGATTGTGGAGGTGTTTGTTTGTGTGTGTGATATTTCTCTCTTTCCTATCTCCGATGCAAACCAGCCACCGCCCGCCTGCTCGTCCCCGTTCATCCGCCCACCGTGGTATTTGTTCCAATCCGGCTGCTCTTACAATTAAAAAATCAGCTAATACTGCGTGTAGTTGTATGCCCCTGTATCCTTTCCAGAGACCAAAAATAGCCAGATGTATCTCTTCCTCAGGAGGAGGTTTCCCGTAGATACGTACAAGGTAAAGAGAATAAGAGAAACTGAAAACATGAATGCCAAGGTCTCCCATAGACTTGCGCCGGTCAAAAGGGTCGATCTCGGGTATGACGACTCCCAATGTCGTTTGTTCTACTTTCCTGTCCTCAAAGGGACCAATGAAAATGCTCTTCGCCCGAATTTTTCCCCAGTTCCGTAGAGACCACGCCGCAACGATCAAGGAAATGTGGATAGAATAGTGAAAAATGAGTAGACGAAGATTCTTGCATGTTCTTTTCAGTAATGATCGACTGTCGGAGAATGTTTGTGACATTGGCTCCAAAGAGCTCATGCTGCGCGTCCCTCTGACGAAGCGCCCACTGTGAAGGTCGGGAGAGATCCCGGCGTGGCCCGTTGAATGCGGCCATTTGGAAAATAACAAATACTCGGTCCAAAACATTTAGTGAACGCCGCCAGATGAATGCCTTGTCCTTCGATGCCCATCCGATGAGTATGTTGAGGAGCAGGATATATACAATATGAAAGGTTGGAAAAGTACTGGAAAAAGTCGATGCCGGGTATTGAGAAATGATAATATAGCCAGTTTTGTTGCTAGTGTATGAAGAATAACGCCGGCGGCTGCTACGTGTCTGATGGTGATAAGGTGCCGGGTTGCGTTGACCGGGGTATCTGGGGTTTTATTTGAAGGTGCAACAAACTGGGACCGAATGCGATGTAGTAGTATCGGGGTATGCGTGGTGATCGAAGCCCTGAGCTTCTGCCGGTATATACTATTTGGATTGAAGGTGGACGGACCACGGGTGGGCGGGGCAGTCGTCGTATTAGCTCCTCTCGTCAGAAGGCTTAGGACGGATTTGTCGCGCTTCAAGCTGACGCTTTCGCTCCAGCTTGGCGTAGTGTAGTCCACAGGCGTTGCAGAGAGTTCGGGCACCGTCAGGCCCCCTTCGCCATTCGGGAGTATCGATTCGGTTACAGCTGTGGCATCTGCCGGGAGGAGCAGCTCTCTGCGTCCCAGTTAGCTTCAGTCGTCCGGGCGTATGATGCTGCTATTAGAAAATTTACCCCGCGTCGCTTCTTGACCTCAGTGATACCGTAGCTGTTCTTGTTCATACCGTCATACATCGGCGTGTCCTCGTCTTCGTAGCCCTTCTGCTTGCCGACTACCCTCGCACGCTCGTTGCTGTCCTTGACAAGTTGCCTCACCGAGTCCAAAGAATTTCTGATGTACTCCACGTTGTCGAGCATGTCATTTACTTCCCGCTCAGTAGGAAGCCTGTCGGGCAGTGGTTGTTGGTTGCCATGCTGCTCTGCGGCGATGCGACCGTAAGCTTCGGCGAAGTTGTAAATCGTCCTCGTGGCGGAAGCGATCTGGTTAAACTTATTGGTAAGCTTGACGGAGGATGTGACACTAATGGGAACACTCACTCTACCTAGGGCATCCGAGTAGCCCCACGCATCCAAATGTCGGTTTAAGGTTCGGTCGTATTGAGGGCGGGCGGGACCGTACTCAGAGTCTTGAGCTTCGTGGACTCCAGGACGCTGAGCATCGTACGGCGATGGCAGAGGCGGCCCACCATGGCGAGGTGACACGGGGTACGCCGCTGGCAAAGGGACCTGTCCTGCCGGGAGTTGATTCGCGTGCGGGTGAGGATATATCGGGGGCGGCGGCGGCGCGGTATGTTGTGAGTAGGGGCCAGCCGGCTCAGGTGCCCTTGGGTCGGGATCGCGCATATGCTCCGGCTTGTGAGGCGGGCTCGGTTGAGGACCGGAAAAGCTGCTCATAGGCGGCGGAGGACGAGCCGCGAATGGCGGTGGCGGCCTTGAGGGATCCGAAATGGCAGGAAGTGCGTCGGGCCTTGGTGGATATGTCGATGCGAGGTGGTGAGGCCGAGGAGAGTTCTTATCGGTGGAAGACTCTGCATACGATCTTGGAGGCCCTGGTGCAAAGGGAGAAGGGAAGCTTTGGGAACCCGACATGCTGGATGCTTGTGAAGGCGGGTACTGGCTGGGTTTCGCACCAGAGATGACTTCAGAGAGCGAAGGGAGTGATTGTCGATGAGGAGTCTCAGACTCATCCGAGGGTCGTCGAGGCTCAACTGGAGAAATCATGCCTGCAATGCTGGGCCCGGGAGCTGGGTGCGGATAGCTGGATGAAAAAGACGTCGGATGGCCATACGGGGTTGTGCTCGGGCTAATAAGGGCTGCGGTCGCCATGGCGGGGCCGTCGCGGTAGTGTCTGTTGTCGAGAGGTTCTCTTGGGGGAGGGTGATGATGGGACTCAAAGCGATCGGGGTTACTGGCAGAAGGTGGTCGGCTGTTAAATGGGAAGCACTTGTTAATGTCTGGTCTAGGGGCAGGGCAATTGAAATGATGAGGTAACGGGGGGCGTCTGTGAGAATCGAACGGACCTTTGCCTAGTACCAGATCCGCCCGCTTCCATAGCGGGTTTGCCGGGAGAACAGATGAAGTGACTAGAACCCCAGATGCGATCTATGAGCCTCTAGGCATCTGACTCGACCAAGGCGTGAAGGGACGAGAGCGGGCCTAGTCCGTGAGGTCGGTGTCAAGACGGGTGTCCGGTGAGGTTTGGTGTATTTGGGTGGAGATGATAGAGAGAGTGGTTAAAGGTGGGAGGCTCAGAGTCATGTAAGAATAAAAGCCGGGCAGGGCAGAGGGAGAGTGTGAGCAAAGACAATGTGGTGTGGTGTGGCTTGGCCCTGAGGAGAGGAGGTGAGGTTAGGTTAAGTTAGTCGAACCTCTTCCAGCTGGGTACCCGGTAGGCAAGATCTGATCAAGCTATCGCGCGTGTGTGATGCGTCGTGGCGGGATAGGAAAGTCACTGCATGTATCCTTTCCTCTGGGGGGGTGTGTGTGGTGTGTGAGAATGAAGGGGGGAGGGTAGGGGAGGAATCGGGGGTAATGCTGGCTCCAATTGGGCTTGTCGAGAGGTTCCGAGCTGAGAAAGAAAAAGCCGCCTAGCGTCGGTCAAGTTACCACGCTGCTCTTTGTGGCGGCTTTTTGTATTTTGTCCAAGACACACACTGTCAAAATCTCTCGTCCAGGCTAGTCGGGGTGGGCCTATTTCGACGGGGTCTGGGAGTGAGACTCAGACTCGTCGATGGGGTGTGGGTGTGCGAAAATACCGTGGGCCTGGGCCAGTGGAATTTCTGAATTTCTTTTCGATGCCGTTGCTTTTTGGTGCCGGTCTAGCGCCTTGGAGGGCGGGCGCCCTTCAATGAGTGCTGAAGAGAAAGGGAGGGTGTGTTTTGGTATGGGCGATGAGTCCTTGGAGCGTTCGTGCCTGGCCGGTCTGGTATGTCCGGCGAGTTGGCTGACGAAGTGCGCAATGTTAGGCGTCGCGTGTCTTCCAAGTGCGGTGCTACTCTTCGATGACTATCTGTCTGAGTTGAGATCGTACCTCTAGATCTGACACCCGATCCAAAGAGTTGCGGAGGCCGATCTGGAGATAGTTCGAGTCGCGAACGGTCGCAGGAATATTGCTGGGTTTGTCGGATAAGTAAGATGGATTGGAAATGGGTTGATGGAAGAAGAGAGAGGAAGAGAAGGGAGGGAAAGGAAAGGAAGAGAGGAAACGCGGATGTGTGGGTTATGAGAGGAAATGACAGAGGTATTATGAGATCAGCGACTGACACCCAGGGCGAGCGAGGTGTGATTTCTGAGTGGACGTGCTTGGTATATTCACACGCAGGTAAGGTCTGATATGTACGGAGGTACCCCTTCGCGGCTACAGGGGCGCTGAGAGGGGGGGAGGGTATGGTGGTCTTCGGTACAGTGCCTCAACGGCGGCAGGTCCATGTTGCCTTATGCTTGCTCCTGATGAACCAGATCCATCATCCCTCCCCTAACTGTTCTTGGGGTATGTGGGGGGAGGGCAAGGAATCGCTGCTCGGGGACCAGATGTGCGGTGTGTTGGACTAGGAATCGTCGCGAGCCGGAGGGACTGAGATGCGTGTGCAGACTGCACCTTTGCATGTACCGGTCAGAGCAGACCGGGGTCGTGAGGGATCAGGTAACGCATCGTATTGCCCAGGTATCCATTCAGTCAACAGGCCGGGGTGGTAGGAAGGGGGGCCAGATTTTAGCATCCAGATTGGCGGCAACATGTCGATTGATTGACTGCTGATGTGCAGATGGTCTGCAGTCGAGGCTTCGGTTGTTGGAACTCATTCACCCAGGTCTCTCGTCGGGTCGTGGCGTGGAAGAAGAGAGCTCTCGGAAAATGACGCTCTTTACCAAGCGTCAGTAGTCTGACACTGCCAATCGACGACTATGGTAGACAAGACATTGCAGTCCGCTACATCAGTAGCTACATACTGCGTAGATTTACCAGCAACCATTGGGTGATACCTCGGCGGCAATGTGTAATTTGCAGGTATTTGTCCAGTGCTTTGGCTGTCAAGATAGCACCACGGTGCCTCAACGACCCTGGAGGAGATAGAGCTGGAGAAGCCCAGCAGCAGTACTCTGTACGGATACTGCTATGTGGTGCCGACCTCGTGCGCCAGCAAATCCCCCCCTGGGTCGGAGTCTAGCAATCTCTGATGGCTAAGGAAATGGTACGACTTTTTGCGGTCATTGCATCTTGGGCAGGGGATATGCCCCACGATAATTGGCCTGCTGTCACGGCTGGATCGCAGATTGGTTGTCGAGGGGGGCAGCGGCTGGGCAGGGGGGCTCACCAGGGTCAGGGGCAGTGATGACTGGGGGTCAGCAGTAGTATCCCAGTCAGCCATCAGTAACAGCAGTCGCTGCCCCAAAGTTGGTATTTCCATCGCTCATCACTCAGGCGTTGGCTCGTTGGTAGTGGTGTGGGAGACACGATGGACGGAGGCGGGCTGACGATGTACTCTCAGGAGGTTCATGGCGTCAGGGCCGGTGGTGTCGATTTGCACCCGCCCTGGTACCTCCTTGGCGAGATTGTGATTGTCGGAATTGGACAGCGACAGACTTTTAGAGATGGACTCAGATACGGGTCAACAATGAGTTAGAAGCGTCGATGTTATGCCACCCGTTGTCTAGGCTCTGGATAGCATGTTGGTGCAAAAGCGCTGCGCCATTGCTTGGCAAATGCTGGATAATTGCGTGAGAAGGAAACGATGCTTTGCCCACTGCGACGGTCTTACTTTGCATGCAAGATCCCATTCCTCTCGGCAGCGACATTTCGAAGCGCGAGAAGACTTCTGTCCATGGTGTTTGGCGGTAGTGACGGAGTGCGCTAGAGCGGTTCCAGGCTTCATTAAGGCTTTGCCTCCTCTTCTGTTGAGTTGAATGGAGGAAAGCAGCTGGGGCGTTCTGAGGTTGAGCTGCTACGTGAGTGGGAGGCGGATAGTCAGGGAGCGGGGAGGGCGCTGGAGGAGGGAAGAGGGCGTTGGCATCGGAGGCGCTGTCAGGGATGAGATGCAAAGTCTTTCTGTGGTGAGCACATCGGTTCCAGTTGGATTTGGTGTTTCCCGCAGTATGATGTCGCTAGGCGCGTGTCTTCGGAGCGAGGTACCGTAAGGATACCAAACTGCGCACTCATGATGGAGAGACCAGAAGGAGAGTACTCGGTAGTCTCTGTATTCGTGCCGTGCGTGGTGCGATGTGAGTGGAATGCGGCGGCGCATAGTGCCGCACACTGCCCCGGGCTTTTTGGACGTCAGATGTCCGTGGACAGGGGTCGGTCGATGGCAGGAGTGGTGTTCCCAAGTACGTCTCCCATGTCCAAGTTCCATGTCCATGCCCTTGCGGCGTTGCCTCTCTACGGGGTGTCGTCTCTTTCAACCTCGGAGCGAGATTTGAAGAGGGGCTGTAGACGAGGGGATGGGCCAAAGCTCGAGATGGGTCGTCCATCAGGTTGAGCGCTCGCATTCCAAATGAGGGCCAGGAGCTCGGGAGGCGGAGGGAAGCTAGGTAGGGCTCGATGTATCTTGGCTCCGGTGCAGTTAGACATGTAGTTGGAGTTGATGGTTGTAGGTGAGCCGGAAGGCAAAGTTGAGGTCAAGGGCGACGACATACCGGCACACAGCAAGGTGAAGATAACAGTGGTCATCTCTTGGTGAGGTAGGTACAGCAGGCGATGAAACAGTTTGACGTGGACAGATGATGCATCGCATGCAGTGACGAGCTGTGACGGCAACGAGGATGAGGAGCCAAAGGCAGAGGCAGAGGCAGAGGCAGAGGCAGACCGGAGGCAGGCCCGAAGCCGACTCGAGCTGACGTTGGGATAAGTTTTCGCCATCTGCACTCTACAAGCCTTTCGGTTCAAGTTTGGACCGCGCCGGTGCTTTGCCGTCCCGAGAAGGGGGACGGTAGGTAAGGTAGGTATCAAGGTGTGAAGTAGGCCTTACCTTGAGTTGACGTATGCGCTGACCTGGTGGGCTGTGCTTTTCCCAGACAGAAAGGCACGAGTTGGGTTCTTACCATTTGATGTGTACCTTAGCTGTTGGCTTGATTCTCCCAGAACCGCAGGAGCAACGCAGCAGTACAGTGGACGCGCCTTCCTCACCTCCAACCCTCCAACCTACGGTACCTAAGCAATGAAAGCCAGGCAGGTACCAATCCACACCTCACTCAGTCCCACCTATTGTTAAGGCAGGTGCGGATTCGGATTCCTAGGTATCCGCATCGTTGGGCAGATACAGTGGCCACGTGCTGCAGTCCGTCTCAGCGTCCCGAGCCCTGTAGGGAAGGAGACAGCGGCGCCCTAGAACATCCATCCGGGCAGTTTG